GAAAATACTCAAGATGTACATAAAAGATCAAGATAATCAACATTTCTTGTAAATATCATTTTTCAAAAGCTGATCTTGTTTTTCAGTGTTTTCTACAAATAGCCTTACTCATAGCCGCATTAAGTTGTCCATAATAACGAAAAAAACATTATTTCTGTTTCTTCTCGTTGGTGGTGTTCTATGACTTTCCTATGTTTCCATAGTTTGCAAATCGGTTCTTTTAACGATTACTAAGAAATGCAGCACAGTGTTAATTCAGTTTTCTTTTTTGTATATCAAGGCTCTCTCGCTTTTTTCCATTGTACTATTTATGCCAACCCAAATTCAAATAGTAAATATTTCATTTCAACTAACTCAGTAAATAACTCAGTAAGTTTGTACTTTGTAGCAAACTTTTAAATTAGCAAACTTATTGACTGTTTACAATTACGTTACAATACTATGTTCTTCTTCTCACTTTTAATATCTGAAAACAGCTGGAGTTTCATAACAATTTTTGTTTCCCATGTTAAGATCTTATGTATCTTATCGAGAAATACGAAACTTTAAAGGGCCCCAGGGCCTCACTCTCTAATTATTTCCCTAAAAATAAAGTTTCCTGCACAACTTCACGTTACGCCTTTTCCAATGACACCAAAAACATGTCAATCGGTTCAGTAGTTTTGGAGGAGTAATTGTCACAAAAAACCTGCTTGCGTATTAAATCTATACTAGTGTACATGTTGCTCTAAATCGAGCAATTGCAAATAAGTTATTTAAAAACAAATAACTTATTTAAGAAGAAATATAAGTCATAAATTTAGATGAGTTTAAAAGAGTCAACTCAAAGATTACGTTACTAATGATAATACTCATAACATACTTAACAGTTCAATATATCAACATTTCATGTAAATATTTTATCATTTCCAAAAGCTGATTTGGTTTTCAGTGTATTGTAGAAATGTTTTCCACTTATAGCCGCAATAGGTTGTCCATGTTGGTCTTTGTCAATGATAATGTAGGCTGCATGGTACCACTCATTGTCACCAGTAGGTTTGCAAATTTCAGTCTTTATTTTAGTAGCACCAAATAACCATAAGCTACCCCACCTGATTTTCTGCATAACCTCTCTGTCATAATTTTACAATTGACATATGTTCTTCTCACTTTTAATTTCTGACAACAGCTGGAGTTTCATAACAATGTTTGTTTCCCATGTTAATCTTATGGAGGAATACAAAAATTAAAGACCCCCAGGGCCTCACTCTTTAATTATTTCCCTAGAAAGAAAGTTTCCTGCACAACTTCACGTTACGCTCTTTCCAATGACACCAAAAACATGTCAATCTGTTCAGTAGTTTCGGAGGAGTAATTGTCACAAAAAACCTGCTTGCGTATTAAATAAGTAATAGATTTAATATCAAGAACAATCAAATTAACTTGCCACATTTATTTAACATGAATGTATCTATCATTTGGTAAAAATAAAAGTAAAATAGTACTAGAGGGGGAAAATTCAGCAATATAGTGAACTTTGAATTGAGTTTTCTCAAAATCCACTTTTTGTTAATTACGACACTTTGGGTTAGCTGGGCAGTGTAGGTCCCCAGTTTCCATTCGTTGTATGGGCTTGTAATTAATATCTGTGTATGGAACATGTCGGCCTTAGTCACTAACAAGATCACGCCACTCATCCTACACCCATCTCCATCCATAAAATACCTACATTTGTATGGTCGCCATTCCAGAAATTCAGACCAGTCAAGTTTGTTTACTTTCAAACACTTTCCATTTATAGAAAAAGATATAGTTGTACTCTAGCCATTTTGGATATCTCTAGTTTGAATATAAAAATAATGTCTCTGTAGTATCAAATACTGAATGAAGCCAAACTATCCTATACCTATTGGAGAATTCTAGAGGTTCTAGTTGTAACAGTATTGAAGATATCTTACCTTGTGGCATTTTATACTCCTTTCACATTCATCAGCAAACCCTTATCCGTCTCAAATCAGTCACATCAGGCTGACAGTGGATCTAGCCTATGTAACTGGTTGGTCACATCAGGCTGACAGTGGATCTAGCCTAAGTAATAACTGGTGGGTCACATCAGGCTGACAGTGGATCTAGCCTAAGTAATAACTGGTGGGTCACATCAGGCTGACAGTGGATCTAGCCTAAGTAATAACTGGTGGGTCACATCATGCTGACAGTGGATCTAGCCTAAGTAATAACTGGTGGGTCACATCATGCTGACAGTGGATCTAGCCTAAGTAATAACTGGTGGGTCACATCAGGCTGACAGTGGATCTAGCCTAAGTAATAACTGGCGGGTCACATCAGGCTGACAGTGGATCTAGCCTAAGTAATAACTGGTGGGTCACATCAGGCTGACAGTAGATCTAGCCTAAGTAATAACTGGCGGGTCACATCAGGCTGACAGTGGATCTAGCCTAAGTAGTAACTGGTGGGTCACATCAGGCTGACAGTAGATCTAGCCTAAGTAATAACTGGCGGGTCACATCAGGCTGACAGTGGATCTAGCCTAAGTAGTAACTGGTGGGTCACATCAGGCTGACAGTGGATCTAGCCTAAGTAGTAACTGGTGGGTCACATCAGGCTGACAGTGGATCTAGCCTAAGTAATAACTGGTGGGTCACATCAGGCTGACAGTGGATCTAGCCTAAGTAGTAACTGGTGGGTCACATCAGGCTGACAGTAGATCTAGCCTAAGTAATAACTGGTGGGTCACATCAGGCTGACAGTGGATCTAGCCTAAGTAATAACTGGTGGGTCACATCAGGCTGACAGTGGATCTAGCCTAAGTAGTAACTGGTGGGTCACATCAGGCTGACAGTAGATCTAGCCTAAGTAATAACTGGTGGGTCACATCAGGCTGACAGTAGATCTAGCCTAAGTAATAACTGGTGGGTCACATCAGGCTGACAGTGGATCTAGCCTAAGTAGTAACTGGTGGGTCACATCAGGCTGACAGTAGATCTAGCCTAAGTAATAACTGGTGGGTCACATCAGGCTGACAGTGGATCTAGCCTAAGTAATAACTGGTGGGTCACATCAGGCTGACAGTGGTTCTAGCCTAAGTAATAACTGGTGGGTCACATCAGGCTGACAGTGGATCTAGCCTAAGTAATAACTGGTGGGTCACATCAGGCTGACAGTGGATCTAGCCTAAGTAATAACTGGTGGGTCCTAACTGGTGGGTCACATCAGGCTGACAGTAGATCTAGCCTAAGTAATAACTGGTGGGTCACATCAGGCTGACAGTGGATCTAGCCTAAGTAATAACTGGTGGGTCACATCAGGCTGACAGTGTATCTAGCCTAAGTAGTAACTGGTGGGTCACATCAGGCTGACAGTGGATCTAGCCTAAAAAATAACTGGTGGGTCACATCAGGCTGACAGTGGATCTAGCCTAAGTAATAACTGCTAGGTTGACACAGCGAAACCTCATGATGGTTTAAGACTTGATCCGGCTGTCTTAGGAGTATCAAGCTCCTAATCTCTTTTGCGATAGTAGGTAAAGAACCAGCGGAGCTCAGTCATTAACAAAACTGTCACCTTTCACTTATCTTTACTTTGAAATACCCTATCTCTTGTATAGTATCTCAGTATAGTATAAATCTAAAATAATCAAGTTATTTTCACAAATTATACCCACCATTTTAATGCTAATAAACAGGGTGTGAAATTTAAAACCATCCATTTCTGTTGTTTACAAAGGTAAGGCTTTTAACACTTGTTCGTTCTCATTTCCCCGTAGGTTGGCCTTGCCAAATCCAATAAACACATTTAAAATATAGAAAAATGTCCCAAAAGAGCACAACTTGTGGGGTATGAACGCTTTTTGAGATATTTTCAAATGTAAACATAGGTTGTGTGATACATCAATTTAGGATATACTTTGGGGTGTATCAATTAAGGACTAATCACCCCGATAATTTTTGTATAAAAAAAGTTCATCTTTAACCATATTTACAGGGTGGGTCAACACGTTTAAAAAAAAAGACTATGAAGTTGTTTAACATATTATCCTAACCACTGATCGGAAAAGCACTAAATCTTTTTCAAGCTTATTGTTGACCTACTATTTAAAATAACTTGTAGTAAGTGAATTTTTCGTGTTATTTTGCAATTAAAAAAGCCGAAAATTCAAGACCTTTAAACAGAAATATATAATACATTTTATATGATTTGAAAAGTTCTTTTTAAACAAATATTTTACGTGTTTAAGTTTTCTTTCTATCTCCTACCATTAAACAATTGCAGTAGAAAAGCGTAATTTTGTATGGTAAAATTAACTACATTTCTGTGAAAACACTTTGCCATTTTCGCAACGATGTATTAGGATTCATTACAAATTGACCAACTACTTCTACTTGTGTCAGTTAAAAGCCTTACACAACATTTTATATGGAACGTTTTCAAATGAACACCCCTATAGCTGCTTTCTTTTAACACTTTTCATTTACTTACTTTACTTTACTTTTTTTCTAAACAATTTTGTAGAGCTTAAAAAAACAAATAATTTAGTATATTGAAGCGTTATTATGCGCCTAATTGTTACGAATAAAATTCAAAAAAAATTTAATTTTAAAATACCCATGTTATTCTTATGGAGAATAAGTCAACTGTTGTAGTTTGCTTGTTTATAAACACATTTTGATAAAATTTTGAAAATACATTAATTTCTTACTAAACTACAGTACCTTTAACATTTTAAATTAAAAAAAAAACTTTTTTACCCTCCCTGTTGCAGCAAACCTAAGTACTCGTTAAACTAATTACGATTAAATAGGGAACAAATGTGATATTTTTAAGGAGACATTTTAGTGTAAATCCAATCAGGAAAATGGAAATTCGCTAAGTCTGCAGGTTAGCTGTGGCGGGGGTATTTATCTATCGTTATTCAAAATTTGATTCTAAGGTGGATGTTATCAAAGCTAACAACAAATATTAATGAACCAACTACTGAATGGGTGTTAAATAAAAGAACAACAAGATCTTTTAATTATATTAAACAATGACGCTGAAGTATAAACTTCGGACAGTACATTCGATCCGCCATCTTGCATCAGCATAAAATATCAATCCTAAAACGCAGTAACGGAGATCTATGTGTTCATCAGAGGCGTATCTTGGGTTTTCACCAGTCATTAATGGCTTTAGGTGGCAGTGTGAGATGTTAACAAGATCAGAATTGTTTAATCTAAAGTTAACATTTTGAAACCCCTTACATTTAGCTGCAAATATCTTCAACTTTGTGTTTTAATACAAACTTTACATGTAATAGTTTAACAAAAGCAATGTGAAATAAATATTTTATTATATGGCCAGGTTAATAACAGCCCAAAATTAAAAATAAAGCATTTAATTAAGAAACTTTGTTCAAAAAAGTAACCTAAACCGGAGACAAAATCCCCAAGGGCTGGAACGAAATGGAGTGAAGAAAGAAAAGGAGAAAACTAACTTAGAAATTTAAAAAAACTAGACCTATAAAGGAATTAGTTAAACAATTTAACCATTGCCGAGCTTTTTCATCTCCGGGGGCTCAGCGTGAATAAATAATAGTTTTAAATATTTAAAAATGTTCCTCACACACTACCACCGTACAAGGTAAGACAACCACAGTTCACCTACTTCACTCTACATGCATACACCTGCTACACATACAGCCCGTACTATATACATAGAAACATCAACACTGGCCAAGGCCGCTAACTAACATGGGTTTCTACGAATCTACAGTAGACATTAAGCATATTCCTTCTTTCCAGCTAACCTTCGGACGATGTAACAAATACGCACTACCTTGAATAGAAATAGATTGATTATTCTAAGTGATCGCGAGCTTAAGTATTACAAGTCAGTATTACAAAATATTTGTAACATTTCTTGTTATAGACTCTGGCATCAACATCATTAATAGTTTCTTCACTATAAAACTATATTCACGTGACAACAATGGGGATTCTTCCTCCGTATTATTTAACAACCATTTTATTAAGTGGGTATTGTTTAGTTGAATATTCAAGATTGGTATTGATTATGTCGTTTATTTAAGAGTTAGTGTCTTAAGTTTATTACTGAAGCAATCTACTAGTACCATCGCGTACTTGGTGGAATGTACACGTTCTGTGTCATAAGTTTTTTTCCCTCGTACTGTTACCGGGATGAAAATATTCTTCTGAAAACTAATATATAAAATTCTTAACTCTGTTAAGTTTATTTTGTTGAATATAACAGTGAATGAATATATTTTCCTAATAATTAGATATTTTTCATCAACAATAATCTATTGGTATCATCAAATTCGAACGAACAAACAAACCAACCAATACTAACTAACATTACAAAACGTATCGTTTAACGTATCAAAGTCATTACTTACTAAAGTAATTAATTTACAAATATGTATCTTATCGGGCTAAGAAAACATTTGCTGTGGAAGCAAGATCTTACAAATCTCTTAACCTAGTTTGTAAACTAATTAAAAAATGCTGTATAAAGCTAAATAAATAAATGGCACCAATGGAGCCAACCGTTCCTAACTCTGGGCTATGACAATAACAACAGCAACATATTCATATCATGCAATCAATAATATACACTAATTCCACTCAACATTTCAGTTGATATTGTTACAAAAACTGCATTTAATATATTTGTACGCGAGTATTAATATTATGAACACAGTAATATATTAGAATTCCCTGAAATAATATGATCGCACATAATAAGAGAACGAATCTCGTAAAAAAATAAACTGTGAAACATACTTGTTAACTAATGTAATTAAAATTAACAACGACTATATTTTACCTCAAAATATCAATACTTAAAATGATTATTGACAGCTATATCCGTATCAAATTGAAACCAATATTAATTTAGCTTAGATAGATTTTACTAAGAATTACACAAATTCCAATAACCGCTCATATTACTGAGGGTATAAGGATACATGATTGGCTGATCTCCTTGCTAAACAAACATTTATTGAGAACACTTATTTTAATTGTGAGCAGGTAAGCGTAACTAATAATATTTCAGATGTCTTTATAAATGCACATTTAAATTCTAATTAAAGGCTATCTACATTGGAAACATTGTTTAGTGGGATGCTTTTAACTTAATGAAAAGACCACCGTAAATTTAGAAAATATTCTTAAACGAAATAGCCAAATTAAGGTTATTAACGGTCTACTGAAGATATCAATGTTTAACTCGTTAACGAATTTTATACAATTAAGTTTAAGAAGAGTATCATATTTGTGAAAACTGTATGCATATGTACAACATGGTGTAGTATTTCAACCAATGCCTATTTATCATCTGAATATGGTGTGATAATTTCAAATATTTATTGTTATAACTCACTGTACTATCGTTACTTTTATTAAATAATGCTGCCTATTAAATCAAAATTAAATGATAAGTGTTTAATGAAGTGAATTGCTGCATAGTTTTCTTTGTGAGTTTGACTAGCTCCTTTCTTAACCATTACTATTTGTCTATACATCCAGTGTTTGTTTTCTTGAATATCCATTAGAGAAATACAAATAGATTTACAAATAGATTTACAATTTGTTATATTTATAAGTACCTGCTCACAATATGCGTTAACACAACAATACATACATCGGTAACATATATTATATAAACTAGCTTTTCTAACACTGAACATCCTTCTTGCCAGTTTCTTTAGACTGGGTTATTATCTATGTACAAATTAAAAACATAATCAAACAAACATAACTAAATCAAAATGATGTGAACAAACGTGGTAAGATTTACACTGTGGTGGTTTTTATTTTTATTTTGATTAACTAGGCCTCGTGTTCTAAGGCAAGTAGCAATAAATAATTGTGGCTTTACATGTGACGAAATAATTTAAGCTCAAGATGGAAAAGAATGTGTGAGGTGATCACTTTAGTAAATATTCCTGATGAGGATAAAAGTTTAAAGATCTATTGTTTTATATTCGTGAACAAATTCTAAGCACTAACCGATAAATTAAATTAAACTATAATGATTGTATTAAACTTTTCTGGTTCAGGGAACTACATTAAATTTCGATTCTTGTTTTAACATAATCCATAGCTAATCAACATTTAGAGTCAGATTTTCTGTCGGTGTACTTTAATTAGTAAATTTTCTTTTCTCTACTATGCATATTTAGCAAGCTTCAAAAATTAAAAATTTATGTTTTCATTGTTATCGTCTAGATCCAATCCTTAATGATTATGGCATGCCTTTGTTAATGGCATCCAAAAGAAATGGTGGAATGTAAAATAAATTTGTTTCATTTAAACTGTTCATCCCTTTACGTGAATTTTATGTCATTTACTTCACTCACTACTAAGGGCATATCCGGGAAGGTTTATTTTGTAGTTAAACCAAAACTGTATTTTTGAAATCCAAGACTACCCTAACACAACCTATTCATCGATTGTTTCAGTTCGAATAGTAAAATTTAAAATAACCATTATTGTAATTGTATACAAAATTTAAACCATTAATATGATTGTACAGTAAAATAATCTATGATTTTCATAACGATAGCTAAATTTAACTGCGCAGTAAGATCTTTATCGCTTTTAAAGTTTATTTTGCCAACGTGCTCATAGCTAAATTCATGGGAATCGATCGTTCAGCTGCTGTGAAAACTCCATTGGTTATGTTTTTTCAAACTTGTAAATCTTACTACGCAGTTTTGCTATTAAAATACGTCTAAAAAAGCTAAATTATTCCTTCAAATGTCATTCAATATAAAAATATGTTTGTAATCTCCTTATTATCATTCTACTTCGGATACAAAATACTTACAGAAATTATATACAAATTATACTACGATTAAAGTACTCTCCTGGAGAAAAATATTAATAGCAAAGTAATATTTATTGTATAAGTAGAATAAAATGAAATTTTAAAACTGGTTGAAAATAATTATCGATGGGGATGCGCGCGCATCGCATAGTGGACGTGTAGTTAGTGGTTTCTCCGCTAGAATGCAGAGACGTCTTCAGTCTACCTTCCTAGCGTTTATTTTTTTGATGTCAGAATCGTTACAAACTCTGAAACAAATCGTGAATATTTTACCTTTAGTTGTTACTGTAAAAAGAGCGAGTTTTACTCCCACCTTTACCGTGTCAATATGTCAACGTTCTGTAAACGTGTGCCTGATGATTTGATCATAAAATTAATCAGTATTATGAACTCGTATTTAGCTGTAAAAGCAAACCATCAACTCTAAATATTTTAATAAAACACAATGAATTCTCCAGAAAATTGCGACTTGTAAAGTTGAATTTACAAATGTGAATTTCATAATATTTCAGATTAAATCGTGTTACCACAAGTGATGTTTCAAACAACAATGTTTTAATTTCACGAGAACTGTCAAACACGATATTGTTATTTCAGGACTTTCTGGTTAATATATTAAAAACCCATACCTTGATAGGTTAACCTTTTTTGGCAAATTTTAATCACATCGCTTGGATAATAAAAAAATACCATAATGCATGAAACTAGCTCTTCAGCAAAGCCTTTTTTGTTTTCTTTTACTGCCTATATTATAGCACAAAGTTAACGCTTTTAAATTCAATAAATAATACAAAAATAGCAAAATAGAATATTTATTCTGTGTGTTATTTAAAAACAAAACATGTTCGCTATACTTCCACACGATCATAATTCGTCCATCCAATTCAAATAAATTGAGTGAATATTTTACTGGTACATAGTTACTGGAATAGTTACACATTTGTACATCCGGAGGCTAAACAAGGAATTTTTATATCCACATATTTAAGCGTAATATCTACACTTTATATGCATGGTTATTTTTTTAAGTTGCAAAGACATTTCTCTATTTAACAAAGTACGTTTTCAAATACCGTACCTTTATATACACCTAAAATTATTTCAAACTGCTGAGAATAAAATAACAGGAGTGTTAATCTATGTATAAAAAATTGCATTTAAGCGTTCGATTCAATTCTTACAGGTCACTTCATTAAGCCCAGTCAAACAGAATAAAAAAGTAGTTCTTATATCTACCATAATCTATACATCTGTAAGATTTATGAAAGTATTAGCATATGAATTAAATATTGGATGGAGCATTTTTATATTTTAACATGAAGCCGCAATTACATAAAATACTTATATAGAAGTTATTTATTAAGTCAGGTCAGTTGATAGAATGAATGTTGGATATCTCCCCGGCTTCTGCTATGACAGGCAAGGGTACCTGATATACACTGTGTATAGTATAATTACCGTCGTAATTGACCATGCCGTCGCCGTCGAGGTCAGCCTCCTTGATCATATCGTCAACTTCCTCGTCTGTTAGCTTCTCTCCCAGGTTTGTCATCACGTGACGCAGCTCTGTCGACGAGATCAAGCCGTCATTGTTCTTGTCAAAAACCCTGATAAACGAATCGACTTTGTATTAATAAATGATAATAATGATACAACAGCGTATAGCGTTAAATCACAATCAATACATACTCTCATAGGCCTTTACGGATTCATATTACAATACAAAAAATTGTCTTTTTGAACATTTTAAGGGTAGAATTTTCTTGTTTGAAATCCTGACATAAAAATCTATTTTGAACTTCTAAGCATATCGATGGCTCAATAACTAATTGAAAATTTCTCCATTTGGGACCTTACGTCAAACACAGTAATCGAAAAAAATCGAAATCACTTTTATTATTTTTTAGCGAATTTCCCATATAGGGAATAAGCTATTACCGTAGTACTCATGGTAAGACCTGGACCCGGGACCGATTTATTTTTTCGTTTTGAGGTCCCTAGAGGCCAAAAACACCATCCGTTCAAATTCATATATATATATATCATATATATATATATATGTGTGTGTCCGTCAGTACGATAACTCAAGCAAAAATGATCCGATTTTGATGAAATTTGGTACAAACGTGTAAACCTACAATTATTCGATCGAGTTCGCGAACCAGCATGATCGGACTATGGGAACGGGGGTTTATGGGGGGTTTTATGGGGTAAAAATAGGTTTTCCCATTTTTTACCCTAAAATCACAAAAATTTACAATTTATTTCCAAACCATTTTGTAGAGCTTAAAAAAACAAATAATTTAGTATATTGAAGCGTTATTGTGTGCCTAATGGTTACAGAGAAAATTCCAAAAAATTGTAAATTTAAAATCCCCATGTTATTCTTATGGAGAATAAGTCAACTGTTGTAGTTTACTTGTTTATGAACATATTTTGATCGAATTTGGAAAATACATTTATTTCTAACTAAACTATTAACATAAAAAAAACACCTTTTTACCCTCCCTGTTGCAGCAAACCTAAGTACTCGTTAAACTAATTCTATTTAAATAGGGAATAAATATGATATTTTTAAGGAAGCATTTTAATGTGAAATCCTATCAGGCTAATGGAAATTCGCTTAGTCTGCAGGTTTGCTGCGGCGGGGGTATATTTACTGATATACTAGATTTACTTTTTTACTACGTCATTCATATTTTTGGACCACTAAAAATAAAAATAGTGATATCGTAAATGATCGAGACTTCCCCTAACCCTTGTGAGTAAAGTATACAATCCAAGAATAAATGGTTTTGATTAATATTGTTGGTAGCATATGAAAGCAAACTCAAGAAATTGTTACCTTAGCTTCTCAGTGTCGAGCTACTAAGTGAGTTACGGACTCGCCCAATTTGATGAAGATATCTATCTGGAAGACCTCCTTAAAGCGTTCCCTAAGCGTGTACATGCCCTATTTTCCTTTTATATCTCTAGAGGCATAAGATAAAAATAAATAATACTATACTTATCAATTATAACCCCTAAAGATTCTTATTGAGATCGAGTTTCCACTCTTGTTCTCCCACATATTCTTGTAGATAAAGTATTAAGTAAGTAAATAGAAGTGTAATCAAAACCAACCTAAAAGCCTCTCTAAGCTCGTCTTCACCTTCTGCTCCCTTCATCTTCTTGGACATCATTTGAAGGAACTCGTTGAACTCTATAGTTCCATTGCCATCCTGGTCTACTTCGTTCACCATGTCTCTCAGCTCAGTTTCTGTTAAAGTTTCATTATATTGATTAAATAAAGATGAGATACTGTAGGCCATTGTCACCATAGGCGGTCAAATTGTGGCCATAATCAGCTCATCAACGTAAAACGAGATACAAATATCCCTAAGATTAAATTAAAATATTTCTTAATATCTTAATATATCAAAATATATTACATTTAAATATTTGATCCGTAATAAAAGTATTCTATTTCATAAAAAATATACCATAACAATATGGTTACTTTTTAAATGTTATATTTTAATAATCTAAAAGGTACTGAAAGATTGCTCTGTAAGTAATAAACGAAGCTAAAATTACATATCATTTAAATTATTTAAGAGGATAGTCGTTGGTACAGATTTTTACTTAACTACCAACCACAAACCCTATCACCCAAAATTTTATTTTATAGGGGAAACAAAAAACCTAGGAGACATTATTTATTATAGTATTGTTATTTACCTTATATTAGCTGTACCATGATATCTCACCTCGTTGTAATAAAATATATTTTCTTAAAACACACAACAAGGAAGTTACTTTAAACACCTTTAACATCATGCAATCCCAATCAGGCTCAACAGTGTGTTGGTAAATGATAGAGGTAAATCAGACCTAAACAGTTTACCAAATAAGAGAACAAAGGGGCTTGCCTATTACAGCGGGAATAATATATTCCATGCATTACTAATGGCCATCAGTCACGAGCCAGAGTGTAGTGGCTCTACCATCTAGGTGCCATCTATCATTGGACGAGGTGTATGTCATTACCACCCAAACCACGGTTTGGAATTAATTATGTGTTCTATAAATAATGGGTGGGCATTAAAAGCTTGATAGTATTTAGTTATATTTACATTTAAAAGCCTTCTCTTGTATGTAAAGTGGTTGATGCAAACACTACATCACCTTTTATAATAGATAACTAACAATATTTTTGGGTTGAAGAAGAAGATCAACCAGTTAGAGCTTAACTATTTAGCATTCCTTCTTCTCTTTTTCGCACTCATTTACACACCGCGGTGTGTTAATTGCGCTTCTAAAACATTTAAATATTTTCCCTGAAAAGCCATACCCCTAATGTCTAACCAGTGACCATTCATACTTTCAGCCTGTCACTCAAATAACGATTATTCGTTTTTTTTTTTACTTGTCTACCTGTTGTCCTGCGAAGTATTATCCTATCTACCTTTTGGTAAGCATCCAAAATATGTAGCATTGCCGATCAACTTTGATTAATCCCTTTAGTCATCACCAGGTTCAATTTGAGACACAAACTTAAACAAGTGCAAATCCCATAGTGTTCCTTTTCATACCAAATTAGGCCTGATGAAAATTGGAGTGACTGTTTCAAATTGATCACCATTTTACTATATTTTTAGTGCATTTACTAACAATCTTTTTTAACTAGCCTTTTTAATTCAAATTTTGAAATCGAAAAGATTCATTTTACTGGGTTGTTTAGTTACTTTACATATTTAGTGGGGTAAAGTAACTGACCAAAGGAGTTAAAGAATCAAGAGATAATAAGTAAAATTGTAATGCTTCGAACGCCAGTTTATCAGGTGGTTACGACAAAGATGTCGACCTCCAATGAAAACTCACTCATTCTTCCTTAACCTAAATGCTGATTGCAGTACCTATTCCATGAAAAAGTAACCGAAAGAGTACGGTTAATGAAGCTTCAAAACCTTAATTTAAAAAATGGTCGTAGGTAAATTAGTTTAAGCAACTCACTTAATTAGACTTTACGACACTCGCCAAAGCTCGTTCCTTAAATTACTACTTGTGTCGTAAAAACTATCTTTACGAGATCGTTGCGTAAACTACGACTACCATCTTAAGTGTTATTAGAACGTTAATTAAAAAGTGTTAAAGGCGTGTTTTATTATATGCCTAAATTACATGAATAAACGGCTGACATATTTTGCTACTACTGTATAACTAATATTTGTAAAATGTAGTTTATTATTTTATTTTATTTTATTTTATTTTATTTTATTTTATTTTGCTTCCAACGGTCCAAACAAACCAATTTACAATTATTTTTTTTATATAATGCTTTCTCAATGTCCCTATAACTAAGGGTCAAGCCAAACATGCAAAGGGGCTTAAGAATCTACTTAATGAGAGAACTTGACAAGACAACAAGAACAACAACTAAAACCTGAGCAATGTTGACTAACAATGATAAATCTCTGATATTATGCAGTAATTTTGACGAAACATAATAAATCTTTGCATAATCTATCTGGTATACTACCTGAAGGTCGCTGCCCCAATGATCGCATGACCACTCCGAGCTCTGCCATCGTGATAGTCCCATCCTCGTCTTTATCAAACAGCATGAATGCCTCCTTGAACTCTGCGTGAAAATGAATCATTAAGAAAAATAGTTCCACCTTTGATCATACTACTACCGTTAAAAAAGTCTCATTCCCATATTAAATTCCAAAAGACATTTATAAATTACTGTATTTGCTATTTAGTATACAAGATACTATGGACACTTAAAAAACACTTAAACACTCAACAGATGGTAGAATAATCAATTATAATAAATTTTTTTACAGGTATGATTCGAACTTAATTTATAAAAAGTCCTATTAATTAAACCTCCACTCTGTCATTTGGAAATCACACAAGTACACTATGAGCACTATTTCTAAATTGACAGAGGTTTACATTATTTTTAAGCAAGAACTAACAATGTTTTGCATACATTTTTGACATGTTCCTCCAATGCCAGCCGATTTAAATACATGTCCAATACCTTAACTGGTTTAAAAAGGTCTTCCCATTAAAAATGTTGTTATTTAAAGCAAATAAGTGAAAAAATAAACTTGAATTCGTTCTACAAAAGAACCTACAAGATATTTCTAGTTTTATTTTTGCAAGGGACTTAGAAATCAAGCTACTGAGAAAGTGTTCTGTTTTAAATACTGTTTACCTAATTTTACACTTAAATATCTAACCGTTTCAAATCGAAAGAGCAAAGTATTTAAAGCGTTGCTTCTCTTAACGTCCTTATCAACCATCACAACGTGAAAAAGTAAAAGAGGAATTTAACTCAATTGCAGCAAACTTTATGACAGATTCTTGCAGCTTTTTTAATTTGAAAACTGTTCTGTTAAGATAAAACAGGATGAGTAACCAAATTTAACTGTACCACTACCAATAAATGAATTGTAATCATCCTATAATGTCCATCTTCTACGCCATAATATGAACTGACTATTTTTCATTTCACAAAATATTTATCTAAAGGATATGATTCAATCGGTCTTCCAATAGGATTTGTAATTGCGTCAGAAAAAGACAATAAGATGTATTCTTTATTTAACTTAAGATGTTTTCGTATATTTGTTTCAGCCATAAGCACTGGAATATTGTATTTTTAAATTGTTACATTTACAACTCAGATATTAAGTAAAATGTGTCTATATTGTGTTTTTATAAATTGAAATTGTTTACCCTACAACCCTAATCCAAATGTGAAAGTTCAATTATTTTAGACATCGTTGCTTTGGCACGATAAATAATCTATTATTATTAATCTTATATTATTTTATTATTTAACATCTTGTACACGAGCCAGGAAACATGTTGCAGCTTGCTAAACGAAAAGCATGATTTAATTTAAGACTGCATATGGCATTATTACATGTAGTAGAATATTGACACACTGTTCAGTGTAAATGTAAGATCCGCTAGAATATATCAAGCTACACTGAATACTTAGAGTACATACTGAACACTTTGCACTGAATACTCTAAGAATTATACTCTTTCCTTTGTTGTAAAAAGCAGAAAGAAATATGCTATATAGAAGAGTTTAAAAAACATTTTTACTAGTTTCTTTCAAACTAAAACTACTCCTTTTTATCTTTTCTGTTACATTTTTGTACTTACCGGCAACCTGGTCTTCACAAAGTCCATACTCCGACTGTAAAAAAGAAAACAAAATTAGAGTTGAACTAAAAACTTTATTTCATGTTTCAACTTGATCAATAAAATCCACTGGATGTTCATAACCAGCATTTGTTAACTATCGCATAAAGATATTTGGAGAAACAATTTGTAATAATGTACTGCTTAATTTGTAATAAACATTGTTGAAACCATTGGTATTGTTTCCGTTCGTTAAGGTTTAAAGGATTGTTATATAGAATTTTCTTTTTAATTAAGGCATATGGATCCGAACGGTTATCCCCCTCAGAAAAAATCGTTTGTGTATCTTTAGTTCATCATCCTTTGCATAAAACGTTTCTAATAGCCTAGTGATTTAGGATGTTAACGAAAAACTTTTACACTGTTTTATTTCCTTTTCTCTAGGTTCGTAACAATTTTGCTGGGAGACTGGATCGCGTGCATTTTCTCTATTCCGCCGCAAACGGTAATACCCGCCGTCCTGCAGCCGGCTCTTATCTATTATATGTCAACACAAGTATAAATATTTCATTTCGAAAACATTGATGGCGTGCGGGCTGGAAATGCGGTAAACATTGCGCCAGTTGCTATTGTATTGGCGTCCCACGATATCTGATCGTTATAATATAATCAACTGTCAAAACAAGAAATATTATTAAAATTGTGTAATACTCCCTTTTTGTATTGTTGAAAGGAAAACCTGAAGCATGTGCAAAACAAGAAATACACATCTTAACGACTGGACAGTTTTGAATGAACAAGAAGTTTTATGTTTCGAAAGAACCTACACTTTCACTTTCGTATGTGCATTTTGTGTTGGTTGCAGTTTATTTGAAACATCTTAAAACTAGTCCGTGTTACTAGTATACACATTTACTATGTTCCTAATAAATGACCTTGGCAAAAGAAAAAGGCAGTTACAGTCATCGAAAGACTCTTACTGATATCTAAACTCCTTCACAATAATAGTCATACATAGAATTGTGTTCACGTATCAAAATAATAATGGTAATGATAACACTCAAGAAATATCCTATTTTTTTTCATAAAACTTCTAATAAGGATTAAAACTGAGGTGTGAATGTTGGCATTGTATGCTTTAAAAAGCAAATAAAAATACACATAATAATAATAGTTAATATTTAAATTAAAAGGCTTTATTATGTTTATCATATTTGGTTACATTTCAGGGGGGCTAAATAGTAGTTGATATAATAAAGACTGTTTCATACAGTACTCCTTGAACTTGGTTATAGTCTAGTAGTTTAGTTAAGTGAGTTTAGACTTATTAAAATATATTAACAGAATGTTTTCTTCAATCAAATGTATTTTACAGGTCAACAAAATATGTTTTCTTTATTATCAAAGATACAAAGGGAATGAACAAACAGCTCATTATGGCACTACACTTATATCGTCCGGCCTTAGTGTAGTACTTTTAGCGTATCATTTAACAATATAAAGTATACAGTACTAGCTTATTTACAAACTTAATTTAATATGCTACGTGGTAATTTAACTGTTAGTGGTTTCGAAAAAGATAGTTCTTGATAGGCCATGTTTATAATGAAATGGTTCATGGAATCGGTTATTGCAAATCCAACCAAATATTCTACAAAACACAAAAGATCACAGCTAAATGTTATGAAAGCTTTAGAGGCTATGAACTTAGAAAATCTCTCTAAATGTCCATATAATTCCATGATATAAATAAGTTTTAAGTGTAATCATTTACTTTATAATGAAACATTTTTATTAGCCAGAAGAATGGTAATTTTCACTGTAGTTACAATCTTATCTATCAAGTCAAAAACATACCGAAATCTTCTTCTCTATATTGCTAGTAATTCTTCTCAGCCTTCTGTATTCTTTCTTGTAGTTCACAGACAGTTTGCAGTCCCCCATTGTTACACTTAAAGTTGAACAACCACAATTGTTTTGGATTATATCACAGTTTTTGAATCACTAATTTATTCTGTATGTTTTCTCGCATCAAGCTGCACCGACAATGACAACGAACATTCCGAAATATCACAGTTTGCGAAGGCGTGGCCCCCACTCGGCTCTTCGTCGTCTAAGAATAATACTTGATGATGAGACTCGGTTATTTATAGGCCGTTTGTCATCGTGTCAGATGTAGTGTGGTAGCCTCTACGGAATTACATATTGAAAAGGGAAACTTAACTATGGTAAACAAGAGGAAACATAATTTTCCTCTTTACTTTATGAGAAAATTGAGTATATAATATTTTTTATATGTTTTCAATCCATTAAAAATTTATACCCAGAATCAACATCTAAAACATTTGTAATTTATCTGGCCTGTTTGATAATTAATCGGTACTTTGTAGTTAGTGACTACTGCTGTTTACGTATAGAAATAGTAAATCTTCAAATCCTTGGGATTAGCGATAGATGACGAAAAAACTGCAGTCACTGTAAGTAGCATAGGTAGAATTGATTGATTTGTTACGTAGTAACTTATATTTCATTTTCTTAAACATACACGAGACATTGCCATTATTTACTGCATTTGTGTTTAAACTCTACTCACTGTTATAATAATATGTTGAATCAATATGATGTGATGACTGTAAATAAAAATATAGAAACGCGCCATTTTTGCTTTGAGGTGATTGTCAAATTGATACTCGAAAAGAATGTGTTGGCAAACAACGAAAAGATATCATGTTGCATTGCAAGCCACACACCAGACAAAAGGGCCGACATTTCTTTTGATTATCGAGGTAGAAAGAGACTAACGAGTTGGTGGTGTCAGAGATGATGAGAAAATCAAAAGCAAAACATTTAAACTTTGTATGAATAGTGAAAAGTAACTTTAAAATACTACTATATACCACATCTTTATCTTTTCCCTTTCAATGATGCCTTATGCATGTATAAATGCCTAGTTTCATTTTTTTGTATCTCCAAACAGGGTATGTTCTTTTTTCAATAAAATCTTCTAAATATTGTAAATCTTATAAGTATTTTTCACTTACGTAGAATTTACATAGCACGTGTTAGTAAATGATATGGGTTTTCATTCAATTGGATTATTTTGCAATATTTCTGCATAAAAGACCATTTCAAGTAACTATGTCTTATATTATAATTTATAATGACTAATTCTTATTAATAAATCCACAAACATTTAGGTCTGGTAAAGTGATTATACTAATCTAATAATCAAAATACTCGTACACAAAAAAAAAGGTTTTTTCCTTGAGATAAAAAAAAATTCTTTGTATTTATTTACAGACTTACATGTTATTGCATATACTGTATGTTCATGATGGAGATTTTAAGTAAAGTTGACATAGGGTTATGAGATTTAGGCTAAACTTTGATTATGCGATACGGAAAAGCCGTTATGAAAGGCTCATGCAATTCCTCTTTCTTAGTTCCTCTTTGAGCAAACAAAATTTCCAAAGTGAGATGGTCCAAGTAGATGAGAATCATTATGTTAGAGATTAACGAAGTATTGTAATATTAGGTACGTAACAAAATCAATAATTAGTAAACCGTCTGAGAAAAAACAGAGAGCTTAATCCGTGCTTACAAACATTCCTATTGTCCTAGAATTCAAGAGCGAATCTTACTCACGAAAATGGGATGAATGGAACAAGGGGAAGAGGAAGTTTAAGAGTCGTTACGCTAATTGCTAACGCCAAGAGTTACAAAATGGAGGCATGTTCATGACAAGGGTCTGCGCTAAACGGATGCGTCACGAAAAGGTAGACAGATAAAATAAACCCTCTGCTAACATAACTTGATAATTTTGATTTTTTTTAGAGGTTGGTGGCCTCTTTTAACCTTGCATTTGCCCGTCCACATATCTGTGCGTGGAACGTATCCAGCAAAGCAAGGGGTGAGCCAGTACAGTACAAAGGTGAACTGTAGTGATAAATTTTAGTGGCAGTGACCAGGATCCGAACTCACGACATCGCTGCCTTGGGCCCGAAGTTCGTGACACTACCAACTGAGCCACCAAATCACCAAAGTTTAAGATTTTACTATTAATATGTTCGAGATGGTAAATATATACAAAAATATTACATTTTAAATTAATATTCAGACATACTGGTCTGTCCCTATACTGAGAGAGCTAAACTAGCTTGCTATATTTCATTTTTTAAACATACACGAGACATTGCCATTATTTAATGCATTTGTGTTTAAACTCTACTCACTGTTATAATAATATGTTGAATCAATATGATGTGATGACAGTAAATAAACATATAAAAACGCGCCATTTTTGCTTTGAGGTGATTGTCAAATTGATACTCGAAAAGAATGTGTTGGCAAACAACGAAAAGATATCATGTTGCATTACAAGCCACAAACCAGACAAAAGGGCTGACATTTCTTTTGATTATCGAGGTAGAAAGAGACTAACGAGTTGGTGGTGTCAGAGATGATGAGAAAATCAAAACAACACATTTAAACTTTGTATGAATAGTGGAAAGTAACTTTAAAATACTACTATATAACACATCTTTATGTTTTCTATTTCAATGATGCCTTATGCATGTATAAATGCCTAGTTTCATTTTTTTATCTCCAAACAGGGTATGTTACACTAGTTGTTTTTTTTTCAATAAAATCTTCTAAAGATTGTAATTCTTATAAGTACTTTTCTTTTACGTAGAACTTACATAGCACGTGTTAGTAAATGATATGGGTTTTCATTCAATTGGATTATTTTGCAATATTTCTGCATAAAAGACCATTTCAAGTAACTATGTCTTTATAATTTATAATGACCAATTCTTATTAATAAATCCACAAACATTTAGGTCTGGTATAGTGATTATACTAATCTAATAATCAAATTACTCGTACACAAAATAAAACAAGTTTTTTTCTTGAGATAAAAAAAATTCTTTGTATTTATTTATTGCATATACTGTATGTTCACGATAGAGATTTTAAGTAAAGTTGACAAAGGGTTATGAGATTTACGCTAAACTTTGATTATGCGATACGGAAAAGCCGCTATGAAAGGCTCAT